TGGCAACCCTTAATCTTTATCCCCACACAAAAAAAAAAAACTGCCATCCTGTGTATGACTATAAACTACGTTCACGTCCTGGGTAAGACAATAAACTACAACCAACAGCAAGGCCTCTGATCACGAGGCTTTGAGGAACATAGAACCACCTCTTAATTGTTGGTGTTCCCAGGTCCACCCTCACTCAGAGTGGTAGCACCTGTTAGGAACCCAGCTATGGGTAAAATAGTTGATCACCAAACTGGATTCAAAACACTATGAAAGTGTTATGGGACCTTACCCATAATAACATAATGGACGAGTCCATATGTAATAAATATTGCACCTCAAGAGGAAGCAGGGAGTTCAGTCTGAAGTCTGGAGTGAGGTCCATCAGAAGTCCGTCAGGGGTCTGTCAGTCAGTCAGAGCGAGCAAGTCAGTCGAGTCGGAGGCAGTCCGAAACAGAATCGCGTTCAGACAATTACTACTAAACCTGATTGTTCGTACTAACACTTTCTACCTCTCTGTATATATTCTTGTTTGTAATATATCTGTGTTATTCCATATCCGCCTTCGGGTTCTTCTTTATTGGTTCTACCTTGGACTATCGCCGTGATACAAGGAACTGGAACATAACAGAAAGTAAATAGGTTTTAATATCAGCAATAGATTTTTGTAAAAAAAATTACCAACAGTTGATTTTTGAAGAAATAATTATTACCAACAATTTTTGAAGGAAAAAAAATATTAACAGCAATACATTGAGGTTGATATGCTGCAAACCAAACAAAAAAAAAATCTGTATCAAAAAGGACATTTTTCTCTTGACGTTCTTATTATTTTAACTACCTTTACTCCTAACTACCTTCAAGGTTTGTTTTAAAAAGTGATGAATAGAAACATATGATAAAAATGAATTTATACATCTTCTCTGTTCTTGAGAATTGACAATAAAAATATTAAACACTATTTCTTCATTAGATTGTTTATTTACAAGAATAATTTTATATTTTATACTTGCATTCTAAAAACAAATACAATTTTATTAAACTTGTTGGATTACAGTGGAAAGATTGTTAACTCTTATGACAGGTTTGAACATTTCTTGGCTATAAGATCTTCCAAGAGGTCCATTTCTTGTTTGATGATGTCTTGCAATGCATTATTTATGATGTTGTCTACATAGGAGATGCCAAAGATGATTCTATAGAATCTCCTTTCCATTGCTTGGATTCTTCACTGTAATTCTCTTGTTAATTATTATCTGAATTTCTGGGATAACGAGTTATTATTAATTACACACTACTACTATTTAACTACCTTCACTCCTCAGCAATGTTTATTGTTTTAAAAAGCAATGATTAGAATTGTAATAAAACCTGAACTGTGAATTTATACATTTTCTTTGGTCTTGAGAATTTGCAACAAAAATAATGAACTCTATTAATTAGAGTGCTTATTTACAGAGGTTAGTATATAAAAGATTTGCACAACCAGAGATATGTAACTAGTGTATCAAATCATTCTCCTATGATAGACAAATGAGTACAATATAGATTAACAACTAACTTTAGCGATAAAGAAATATTTGATGAAGCTACATTTAAATATGTAAAAGCCCTAGAAGAAAGCAAATAAAGTAAGTATAAAATCAGTAGCATCACTGACATTATTATTTTAACTACTTTCTATGTACAGCAATATTTGTTTTAAAAAGTGATGATTAGAATTGTTATAAAACCTAAACATATGATGAAAGTGGATTTATACATTTTTTTTGTTCTTGAGAATTTACAACAAAAATATTAAACATTATTTATTTATTAGATTGTTTATTTAAAAGAATAATTTTATATTCACATCATTCTAAAAACTAATACAATTGTATTAAACTTGTTGAATGACAGTAAAAAGATTAACTCTTATGACAGGCTTGAACATTTCTTGGCTATAAGATCTTCCAAGAGGTCCATTTCTTGTTTGATGATGTCTTGCAATGCATTATTTATGATGTTGTCTACATAGGAGATGCCAAAGATGATTCTGTAGAATCAACTTTCCATTGCTTGGATTCTTCACTGTAATTCTCTTAATTATTATCTGAATTTCTGGGATAAGCAGTTATTATTATCAGGTCATCCCATAAATTCTGTCCAAATTTTGAATAAAGAAAACAAGTGACCAAATGTTACATTTAATTACAGATTCAATCAACAAAGTATTTTCCCTGATTATCTATGACTTCCTTCCATCTATTAACAAGCTTACTAATTCCATTACTGTAAAATTCTTTTGGCTTTGATTCGAAGAACTCACAAATGTCAGTTTTAGCCTCTTCCTGTGTTACAAAAGCTGTTTCTTCCAAATGATTCTATAAGCTACAAAACAAATGATAGTCTGAAGGACCAAGATCGGAAGAATAAGGTGGATGGGGAATTTTCTCCCAACCAAGTTCTTCGATCTTTTATGACATGATTCTTGTTGTGTGGGGTCACGCATTGTCCTGATAAAACATCACCTCTTTTCGATTCACTAGAGCAGGTCTTTTTTTCCTCAAAGCTTGGTTCAAACGCTCTAATTGCTGACAGTATATTTGAGCATTAATTGTTGCATTAGGTGGTAAGAATTCAAAGTGGATTATTCCTTGGCGATCCCACCAGATTGAAAGAAGAACCTTTTGCCCATGAAGTTCCCTTCGGCTGTGGCTGGGGTCCTTCCCTTTACCAAGCCACTGTCTACGATGCTTAACATTTCGATAAAAGATCCATTTTTCGTCACCAGTCACAAGTCTATCCAAAAAAGGTGAAACAAGTTGGCAAGAATGGAGAGAAGAGCAGATGTCAACTCGGGATTTGAGGTTGTTTTCAGACAATTCATGAGGCACCCATTTCCCAAGTTTAGGAACTTTTCCAAGTTGTTGAAGATGACAATGAACAGTTGTATGGTTTGAACTGAGAACCACCACCAATTCCTCAACTGATAAAGCAGGATTTTCTTCAAGGGCTGCTTCAAGAAGCCTTTCATCAAACTCAACTGGACGTCCAGTTCGATCTTCATCTTCAAGGGTGAAATCTCCATCTCTGAATTTTGCAAACCATATTCTGCAAGTTCTTTCATTCACACATTCCTCTCCATAAACTGAGTGAATGTTTCTAGCCGCTTCAGCTGCTGAGTTTCCTTTCTTGAACTCATAAAGCATTATGTTCCTCAAATGATTCTTGGGTACTTCCATGTTAGCAGGGTTTTAATCAAACAAAATTTAATTTCATTGTTCTCTGAAATAAAATTTGATCAGTTTAAATGCATCTAAACATAAAAATAATGTTCAGCTCCATTAGACATTATAAAATACTCTTTAAATTTCATTCATTTTAACATTTTCAAGTTAAAATTCAGACAGAACTTATGGGACGACCTGATATTTACATTATTTATATTTGGACTATTGACACTGCTACTATTTTAACTACCTTCACTCCTCAGCAATGTTTATTGTTTTAAAAAGCAATGATTAGAATTGTAATAAAACCTGAACATATGAAAGTGAATTTATACATTTTCTTTGTTTTTGAGAATTGACAAAGAAAAAAATAATGAACACTATTAATTATATTGTTTATTTGCAAGAGTAATTTTATAATTACCACATTCAAAAACTAATACAATTGTATTAAAACTAATACAATATAACATTTGTCATTTACTGATTTATAATGAATTAAATATAGTGACAGACAAGAATAAAGAAAGATTGCATAGAGATGATTACAGACAAAGTACTTGGTATGCTTATAGCAAGAATGTTATATTTTTGAGGGGTGACAACTGAAAAATAGCTGAATTTAATGATGGCTAAAATTTAGCTCTTTTTCAGCAGATATTTAATGATAGTTAAAATATAGCTCCGTTTAACAACAACTCGAAATGTAGCTCTGTTTAACAACAGCTCGAAATGTAGCTCCGTCTAATGGTGTCTAAACATGTAGCTCCGTCTAATGGTGTCTAAACATATAGCTCCGTCTAATGGTGTCTAAACATGTAGCTCCGTCTAATGATGGCTAAACATGTTGCTCTGTTTTGTTGATAGCTAAAAACAAAATCCACATTTCTGAAGTTGTCATTTGAGTGTTTTCATTTACAGGTCAGACTTATGTCAATGTCATTTTTTTTTTTTTATGTACTTATCATGTGTATTATATGATCCATAAGATAAACACATGTCTTCTGATTTTATTCTTTTCAGATGGAGGAATAGAGGAGCTAGCAGATGAAGTAAACAGTAGTAAAGTCCAATATGCCTATTGTCGAATAAAGGACCCTAACACAGACCTTCCAAAATATGTCCTTATCAACTGGGTAAGTTAAAAATTGTACACTTATTTTGGGCAACAACTTCTAGGAAATGGGCCCATAGACACAGGTTCAAAGCTCACTATTAATTCCAAACATAGTGAATATGACTGCAAAATACTTCCTCCTCTCCTTTTATAGGTAGATGCACACAAATGCATGCTGGGATTTTTTTGTTAGCCAATAAAATAGGCTGGTTTGTAGTTTCACCTGACTCAGTCCTGATCTGTCTTGTCTTGAAGTCAGAAAAACTACATTCACTTGTCCGAACTTGTTCTTTTGTGTCGTCAACAATTCTTAGTTTGTGAATATTTTGCCTTATTACTGTTGTTTTGCCTTACATATATTGTTTGCTTGCTTTATATTCTTTTTGCCCTGTTCCTTCTTTTTCTTATTTATTGCAAACTTTGTCAATTCTGTTTCTTTGACAGTTCTGTCATTTGTTTTTGCATATATATATATATATATATATATATATATATATATATATATACCAGACTGGTGTCTAGCCTTTTTGACACTTTCAGACCTATAGCTATTCATTTTTGTCCTCTAAGACTTATATTTAACATTAAATATACCAAGAAAAGTTATTATGAAATTAATTTAACCAACATAATGTAATATTTTCTGTTCTTTATTGCAGCAAGGTGAAGGCGCTCCTGAAAGCATGAAATTCAAATGTACCAATCACCTCCGCGACATACAATCCTTATTTAAGGTAGGTTTTTTTTTTCAAATGTACAGTACGTTATTTCATTTTTAAGAGAGAAAGAAAGAAAAAACACACAAGTATGAACAAAGATCACAATATAAGCAACTGTAAATATCGCACGACACTCATAAATCATCGCTAGTTTTTTTTTAAAAAATATGATTATATATACTGGGTGCGATGGATAAATTGTCGTCTAAATGATGCAAAAAATGAGAACATTGACATCTTATTTTAACATAATACCTGGTGCGATGGATAAATTGTCGTCTAAATGATGAAAAATGAGAACACTGACATCTTATTTTAACAGATATATACAGCGTGCGATGGATAAATTGTCGTCTAAATGATGCAAAAAAAGAAAAAAATGAAAATAACACTGAAATATCATTCTAAAACAAATGATATGTTTTAATTATTCTTGGTCCAAAAGTAATTTTGGCTTTGTAATAAATGTATACTTTTTTTAATATTAATCTAATAATCCAAATGGTACTTGTGAGTTATGTCACCAAAAAAAAATAATTTTCCAACTTTTTTACAAATACAGATGTGTAAAAATCTATTATTTGTTTCTTAAATTATATTTTTATTTTTCCAAATATATTCTGATCATGTCAGGGGTGATATTTTATATAAACATCTCAGTGAAGTAAACATTTACACTTTTACAGATAAGAGTGAATAAAAAGTTTAAAAAAAAAAAAAAAAAAAAAACATGTAGGATGGGTAAACAAACATGTAGCAACCCCAACATGCCAAAAACAAATGGTATGTTTTAATTATTCTTGGCTCAAAAAAATCTTGACTTTGTAATAAATGTATTCTTTTTGTAATATTTAATCCAATAAAGGGTATATATATATATATATATATATATATATATATATATATATATATAATGGGTTAACTGTTGCCAATTTTAAAAAATTAACTTTCCAAGTTTTTCACAAATACAGATGTGAAAAAAAAAAATACCATCCCAAAGATTCATTTAACTGTCTGAAAAAAAAAGAAGAAAAAAAAGAATTAATTAAAAAACAATTCAAAAAACATTTCAAATACAACATCTAATTTTATAAAAGATCACCAATATGTAAATTAAAAGGTGGTAACAGATAACCCAGAAGTACTCCCACCCACCAAAAAATTCTTATATTTTAATTTAAAATATGTAAATTAAAATAAATATTAGTTAGATTGTGTTGGGGGATCAATTTACAATGTGTTTACATAGCAAACTGGACCCCCTACTAAGATTTATAAATTTTAATAATGTTTTTTCATTATTATATTAGTGATCTGAAATGATATGAAAAAAAAAATTTTGAAAAAATTAATTCTAGTCATGGTGACAATTATTGTACAACTTCATAACTTTTTAAATAAAATAAAAAAAAAAAATATTTATAAAAATAATTTTTTGAAAAATTTTAAAAATTAGTAAAAAAAAAAAAAAGAAAAAAAAGATAAATGAAAAATGCTAAAAAAAAAAACCTTTCGCACTGAGAGTCACAAGGTTAAGGACTTGGAAACTTTCATTGCAAATACGTTTTTCTGTTGTTTTTTTTTTTTTCTTAGGGAGTCAGTGGACGTACCAATTACAAATTGATAAGCAATCCTATGGTACTTTTTGTCGATTATCTGTCGCCACTTTTTAAATTAATTTTCCAACTTTTTCACAAATACAGATGTGAAAAATGTACTATCCCAAGAGTTCATTTCAGTCAGTCGGTTATGTGTCATGTGTTATACGTGCTTAGGCGATCATGTCTTTCGATACATGACTGACGAGGCAGATTTTTTCCACAGTAGGTTGCCATTTCTTTCTGTGGTAGACCAGTTGCCATCCAAGGCTATAGAACCCCGTCTGTCCTGCTATTTGTCAATAGCTAGGGAAAGAAGAGGATTCATACCTTTCCCAAGGGTATTAGCATGTAATTTGAACTCAGCTCTATGATTCTTCAATCCGAGTCGTTATCCATGACTAAAAAAAAAGTAAAAACAATTAATTAAAAAAACATTTTAAATACCACATCTAACTTTATAAAAGATCACCAATATGTAAATTAAAAAGTGGCAACAGATAATCCGCAATAAACAAATTTTAAAAAGCAGTGATAGATAAGTACTGTCTAAAGAATAAATTTAAAAATTTTTTTTATTTTTGGTGTTTGTCAAGACCAACCATTGGGCATCTTTACATTTGAATATAACCATCTTGTCTCACATGTAGTCAACATAATGTTTTCTATACAGGCAATACATATCACGGTCAATGCTCGAACTGAAGATGATTTGGACATTGAGGATATCCGAAAAAAAGTGGCCAAATCTTCTGGTGCCAACTACAGCTTCCATCAAGAAGCAGCAAAACCAGAACCAGCACCTACACCTGTGGTAAGTAAATTTAGTATTGGGAGAGGGAGAGGGGGGGAATTGAATATAGAAAAGTCTGCACTAGTGCTAGTTTCACCCAACATCACAGAATCAAAATATATTAACTTGAAAACTTGAATCCTGTTCTTAAATAGCCTCATCAGATCCAGACTCTCATGTGGATGTCATGCATAGCATCCAACTTCTTCAGAAATGTCTATCAGCTATAGACAACTTCTTTCTCGGATCAATAATTAAAAATGGCTTCAAGGGAATGAACCCTCAAGGTCATTTTAGAAAATGAAACTTTGCCGGATCTTGTAGACTGGGGCTGAAGAATTGCCAGCAATGAATTTTACCAAATAACAAAAACCACATCAGTTGAAGACTTTCAACAGCAGCAACAACTAAAATGGATAGCACATGTAACTTGAAGAGAAAATGATGACATAATCAAGATGCTGACATCCCACACTACTTCAAACAAAAGGTTAAGAAGGAAACTCTTCAATATTGGAAAGAAAGATAACAGCCAACTTGAAAAATCTGTTTTCCTGAAAATTTTTTATAATTTTCAGCCAATAATAACAAATTGTTCAGTCAATGAATGCTGAATGTTTCCTTATAAGGAAACGGCTAATCTCACCATTATCGTACTTTGTCCTTCAAAGCTTTTCTCAGGGCAATAGTCCCTATTTTGTAGTAGCCACTTTTTTTTTGTCTTTTTTGTTTTTGCAATTATCCCCTGACCTAGTAGATCCACATTGTTGATTTAATTTGATATAACTTCATCAGGCAAATAGATTTATAGGTATTTACAAGGGTGCCCACTTCACAACCAGATATGACACAACGTTGAGGTTTAAAGTGGGTTTAACAGCCATACTATAGAAAAATTACCCAAGTCCCCTCGACATTTCCCCCTTTTGAGGACACCTCAGGTGCTGGGCAGTAAACCCAGCACCCTCTCAAGGGAGAGTGCCTGGAGGGAAACTCTCCTGGGACTTAGGCTAATATTGAAAGAATATAAATCCCAGCCAAATGGATTTATGGTATTTATTAGTGTGCCAACATTGCAACCGGATCTGACACAAGGTCAACATTTAAAGTGGGTTTAAGAGCCATATCACAGAAATATTCCCAATCCCATTCAACACTTCTCTTTTTGGGGACACCTCAGGCACCGGCAATAAAGCCAACCCTCTCCTGAGGGTGAAATAATGTCTGGATAGAAGGCAACCAATGGGGGCTTGGGTGAAGGTTAAATAAAATAAATCAAAGCCAAAGGCAAGTGGTTTTATATCCCCAGTGGGTAACCCATAAGTTTATATAGAACTTGGTGGGTAGAACCTGGAACAGGTTAACTTATTAAAGCACAAGTTTACATTAGCTGAAGGCTATCAGTTCAATACTTGTGTTGGGTTGTAAATGTACATTTGAGATATTTAACAACGCACATAGTATTATCCTGGTTATTTCATGGTATTTCTTTTCAGACAACATAAGACTATTACTACTTGGTGGAAAAGCAAGAGAAATAAGATGAAAGAAATACTAGTCAAAAATGAATAATAATTGCCAAGGCTTCATCTAAGAAATTCAGACAACTTAAGACTATTACTACTTGGTGGAAAAGCAAGAGGAATAAGATGAAAGAAATACTAGTCAAAAAATTACTTGATTTCATAAATATATTTTTCAGACTGACTGATAGAATCTGTGATTCTGTAATGCAAGGAAATAAAATGGAAAAAACTTAGAATGACCAAAAATTGTGTCATCAGGAATTGTCAAAAAGGATGACAATATTCCATTGATATGTATTTTGAAGTTAGATATCAATACTCTGGCACAAAAATAAATCTTGTTACCTTAATTTTTAATTGAAAGTTTTCTTCTCTTTTTATTAAATGAATTTTTGTTTGTTTGTTTTTTATTCTCATTGGGTTTATCTCTCTGTCTTTTAGAGTTCCGTTTATCAAAAAACCTATGCAAAAAAAGATATCAGTGTAAAGAAACGAGATGAGTTCTGGGCAAAAACAGAGGTAAGTTTCTGTTTAAATATTTCTACCTTTTTACATTTTAATTATATTTTTAAAAGTATTTTCTAGTGCAATTTTTCGGTTTTAAACCAATACTGTATCATAATTCTTCTTGTACCTCAGTAAGTTTGTAAGTTAGCATGTGCATAATGCTCTGCCATTACCATAGATAAGTAATGGACCATTCTGTTTCGATTACAAGGAAAGACTAAAGAAAAAGATGTATCATAGACACTGTTTGGTTTTAGTGTGAAAAATAAAGCATACATAATAAAAAGAAAAAAGGGTTATGCACTGGCAACAACCTTATTCAGTAAGTCTCTACATTGAGTATCTCTCGGGTCTTGCAATAGGTGAACAAGAGTATTATTTATTTATATATATATCTGGCCACTCGTATACTAGGGTGGCTAGCTTATCCCTGTTGCAGACACTTCCTCAGGTGCATTTGTGTTTATTCAACACCCACAGAGTCCACTTGTGGTTTATACTGCAACTATGCAAAGCAGACCTTAGTTACAGTTTCTGGGATAGTGTGTTATCTAGCGTGATCAACAATTTGAACAGGGCCAGCATGCTCAAGCCTTCAGCCACAATGACTTGTGACTTCGTGTTAGCACAGCTATCAACAGCAGCCAAGGGTTCCATCTACCCAATTTCACTCACAAGGCTAGGGCCAACCTGTGATATGGTTTTCAGATATTTTCCAAAGGTGCCACAAACTGAGATTGACCCCTTCCAGCCCGATAACATCAGGAATTCTCCTTCCTGACAAATCGGCCATAGTGAGATTCTCATGGTCAGAATGCGAATGTTCTAACCACTTGGCCATGTGCCCATATTTTATATATATATATATATATATATGCAGCAATAACTGTCTAATACACGTTTAATTGAAAATTACTGAGAATCTACATTTGTTGCTTTTTTATTGTATTTTTCTCATTTTGTCCCCAAAAGAAATTTCTTGTTTGCACTCAATAAAAATACAATGAAAAGAGCATATATAGTGTCTACACTCTACACTTGAAAACTGTGTTGTGCATAACACTCCAAGTTGTGCTACTGGTGAAGGATATGTATATTTATTAATATATATATATATATATATATATATATATATATATATATATATATATACACACACACACACACACAAGATGTCCCAAAAAATTTGACATCACTTTAAAAGCAATTATCTTGAAAATGACTAAGTCTAGCGCAATGAAATTGAATTGTTGAGCATCATAAGTTTATTATGTGACCGATTACATAAGTGTTCAATATGGGCATCGCCTGTGGCACGGCATACGTTAAGTCGGTAGTTAAACTCTTGCCAAACATGCTGTAGCATGTCTCCAGTAACATTATCCAGTGCAGAAGTGATTCTCTGCTTGAGTTCATCAATGCTAGCAGGAAGAGGTGGGGACATAGACCAGTCCCTTCATATATCCCCATCAAAAGAAATCACCAGGGGTCAGGTCCAGTGACCATGGTGGCCATTTCATCAGAAAACTGTCTTCATCTCCACCATGCCTGTTCCATCTTGCTGACAGATTCTCATTGAGATAACAAAAATAAAACATTAATTATAAAATCTTGATCTGTTTTTATACATTCTGTGAAAATTTGAGGTTATTTCAACAAGAATTGCCAAAATTGTTGGCCTGCAAAATGATGCCAAATCTTTTGGGACACCCTATATATATATATATATATATATATATATATATATATATATATATATATATATATATATATATATATATTGATTTAAAATATGTTTTTTTTGCTACACAGTTCTAACCATGTTTCAAAAATGGAAGCTAAAAGCTCAGAATTTAATTTTGTAATTAAAGACATGCTCTGTAAATTTACATTGAGCACTATTTTGTAAAAATAAAAATATCTATAAGAACACCGGATTATATATCTTACTGTTCTTTCTTTTTATTTATATATATATATATATATATATATTTACATGTTTTTTTTTTTTTTTTTTTTTTGTAATATCCTAAAATAGGTTAAAAGTTGGTACTTAAGCTCTTGCCAAAGATACCAATGTTGATGATGGCCTACCAGATCATTTAGTCCTGCATAAGCAGCCTGCATTTTTATATTTTTTGGTACCAAGTCCAAATTTGTTTGCCAGTTGGAGAAGTTTTTCCAAATTTTACATTGAAGGCACACTGCACAGTCTTTGCTGACTGTGAGCAAGCATATTCTAAAATGCAAAATGTCTTCTCTTTCAGAGTGAACAGCATGGCTCGACCTGAAAATAAAACATTAACTATAAAATCTTGATCTGTTTCTATACATTCTGTGAAAATTTGAGGCTATTTCAACAAGAATTGCCAAAATTATTGGCCTTCAAAATGATGTCAAATTTTTTTAGGACACCCCGTATATATATGTTTGTGATTCGTTAGAGATGGATTTGTAGAGGACCGTGTCGGCGATGTTGTTGAATAGAAATAGATGAAACGTGGGGTAGAAATTTCTTGCTAGCCGGTCCAACTACATGAGAAAGTTGGACTTTATTAAAGTCCAAAGAAGACAAGGAAAAACAAACACAAGACCGATAAATATATGTAAACAAATATGTATTAATAACAAGAAAGGTTACAAGTTAAATGGACAGTTACATGGACAGAGTGTGTGTGTGAATATTATATATGTGTATGTGTTGTGGTGAGTGTTCGTACGTACGTGTATTGTGCTTAGCATGTTCCCAGCATTTGGGAAACGCTGTATCTGTGAGCGTTCACATCTGCGAGGTGGTAAGGCTGAAAGCCTGAGGAAAAAGTGAATGTATAGTTTGAGATTCTTGAATGACGAAGTTCGTAGAAGATATTGAATGGGAAAGATTTGACGTCTCGATTAGCAAGACAGTAATTAGTAGTTGTCACATTTTGAAGCTTGAGTAAGCGGTCGAAAAATGGTCTGCTGCTGATCTGCCTAGGTCTGCATCTGCCTCTGTGTGCTCACATGTGCTTTGGGTTCTTTTTAAGAGGTCATGATCATGTGGGGTGGCTCCGGAACGATTTTGCGCCAAAACTTTGAAGTGCACATGCGGGCGACCTGATTGGTAGAAATGAACCAATCAGAGGGCTAGATTTGCAAATGAAAGTTGGAATAGTGCATTACTCGAAGAAGGTAAGATTGGGCTAATAGACAAGCCCAATAGATTCATACCTTTCCAAATATAACGCTCTCATGCATTTAATATCGGCTTCAATGAAATGCAAAAACCTTTGAATTTTTAATGTTTTCATTTTTACATTCTTATTTCTTTTAAATTTTAATGACCTGCATAACTTATAATTGTTATTGCAATATTTTCTTAAAGTTATGAAGCTTAAATATTTAATGATACAAAAGAGGAATTTCCTCGATTATTTTACCGTCATGGAACGTGGAATACAACACTATGTCAGTTTTGAATTTATCTCTATTCATTCTTTTATATATTAGTCCTTGTTTTGACGATAAACTACATCCGGCAGCAAGGGCCCTGATTGGCAGGTTTCAAGGAGCCTGTAACCACCTCTTAATTACTATTGTTCCCAGGTCCACCCTAACCTGCTGTAGCAGCACCAGTTAAGGTCCCAGCTATGGGCAAAGAGTTAACCTCCAAACAAAAACAAAACACTATAAAAGTTTAAAATTACATTTTTATCATAAAAATACCTGCAATACATTTTTATATATAAAAAAAATTACCAGCAACACCTATTGAGAGTAAAATTACCAACAATACATTTTATCTGTAGCTGAAGGTATACAAATGCATTCAAAATATTCAGATTTCAGCACTAAACAATCCATTGAGGTGTTGATACACTGCTAAGCAAAATCGACCAAATCTATTATCTAACCTCCAGTGGATTAAATAAAGAATTATGTTTGAAATTGAGTAATCCTTACTGAATATGGCATATATCTGAAAAATGCTAGAGTTTGTCATGGCCAAAATGTTGTGACTATAGTAATCTACATTACGGATATGATTTTAAATAAATCAGCGTGTAATAATAATTCCTCATTACAGAAATTCTGACATAGAATAAATTTTAAATCTTTTGTTTGGCACCAAGCAAAATGGTATCCGTGACTTATTGATATTCTTTTTCTCGTTTTTCTTTCTCTCTTTAGGAAGAGGAACGTCTCCGTTTACAAAGAGAAAAAGAAAATGTCCTTGTTGAAAAACAGAGGCTTGAGGATGAAAGAAAAACTCGAGAGGTTTGTTGTCCTTTGCTTTTTATATAGTTTTTGTATCCAGACATACATTGTTTTAATTAGACAAGTTTTATCATCTTGCTATTTTTTTCTCATATTTCACCTGCTATATTTTGGGATCTTTCTTCAGCATCTAATAACAAAAGGACGAGCACAAAATACAAATTAAAAAACGGAGATACCAAGATCAAACAAGTACAAAAATTTAAATATCTGGGACGTGTTTTAACAGAGGACAGAAAGTGTGACCCTAAAATCAGAAGACACATTGTGATGGTCAAATATGCATTCCAAAAGCTAAGCCAAGTATTAAGAAACATAAAAACTTCATTAGAAACATAGAAAAAAAATACTGAATTGTTATGTGATATTTGCTCTCTGTATGGCAGTGAATGCTGGGCAATCTCCTCAAAGGTGAGGAAGAGACTTGAAGCAACAGAAATGTGGTTCTACAGAAGGATGCAGAGGATACCACGGACTGAATATGTGAGCAACAAGAAGGTTTTAGAGAAGATGGAAACAAGAAGTAAACTTACTTAATATCCTGTGAGACAGGTGAGATTTCTGAGCACATAACGAGGAAGGAAGACTTGGAAAATCTGATGCTCACAGGACACATTGAAGGGAAAGAAAGACAAAGAAAAACAATGCATAACAAACTTAATAATGGCTGAACAGGGATTAGGAGAGCTAACAAAATGACAAAATTAATTAAGATTTATTATAATAATTTATTATATAATTTATATTTATATTAT